GCCACGCGCCACAATGCCAGCATGGTGATGGTGGGGTCTTCTTTGCAGTATTTTGTGAAGTTGGACGAGTATGTGTAGATTTCCGCGGAACATTAGAGAAGGTGGGTCAGGAGTGGATGATGAGAGATTTTTGCTCTTTCGTAATGCATGAATATCAGAGCTTCTCGAAGGTGTTGATTCGACCAGGTGTGTGTCTTTCTGCAAATTAATCAGCCGTTGATATTCATCAGCTATGTCATGTAATGTTAACTTAGGATTTTGTTCTAGCTGATTGAGCAGTCGAGTTCGGATATCTGTGAAACGAGGAGATTGGAGACTGCATATGAGAATCAAGGCTTTGAATTGATCATCTGTTAAGGACCTGAGTCGAAATCTCTCACATTCTCGGTTGACTGTGCCAACGTGAGTAAGAAAATCATCATTTTCATTCATTGTCAGCTTGAGGCAACGATAACGTATGCTGAATAATGAGGAGTGGTCTCCAAAATGTTCACGCAGCAGCTTTATTGTATCATCGAAACACTTGTCACGTGGTTTCTGGGTAAAATTAGGTTGCAGTACCGTTCATATTCTGCCGGACCCAATTTACGTAACAACACTCGCACCTTCCAGGCATCGTCTTGTGAGGCGAGATCAACAGTGAATAAATCCTCATAACGTTGATACCATGTGTCAAAAGTGACATTAGCATCTGGATCATAATTGAACTGTGAAATACTGTTCACAATTCCGTCGACAGATGGTAGCATGGTATGATTGGGATTGCTTGAAGGTGAAGCTGGACCAGTCTGTTGGTTGACGAACATTTCCATTAATTTCATTTGTTGTTCAAATAATAATTCCAATTTAGAAGGATCCATAGTAAATTGTTATGTTGCTGCTGCTGAGTGGTTAATAGTAGTTTTCCCCGTCGCCAAATTGTTATGTACTCGTCGCTAAATTATTGTTATGTACTGGTCGAGAATTTAATAGTCCTGACGCAAGAAGGCGGAAATCAGAAGACCACTAGGTTTGCGATGATACTTCTATTTTCCAAACACAAGGAGAAGCAATAAGTGGTATCACACCAAGTAAGTAGTCATACCAGTTGTGGGAGCGAAATAAATATGAATGTCCAGACAAGGTGTGAACAAGCAATAGACAGTCTTAACATGAATGGCTAATTGTAATGGAGTGTCGATCCAAATATACATAGCAAAATATAGCAGACATTTCCTTAATAAATGATCTGTTTCCTGGCCACTGTCTTCTGTTGTTACATGTGTAGTTCAATACTGGGTGATATCGTCGACACTGGACATCAACTTGCCTCTAAAAAGGCTTTTAAAGTTATTTATCGTACTTCACCCGATCTTTCGCTTCATGCTCTACAAGTATGCCTTTTAAACCTACAAAAGTGGCAATCAGAATTCACCTGGACAAACCAAGTCTTGCTAGGTTCAAAATAAATTGGTGTTGCCCCTTTCTTTACCGTGGTCAGCTACATAATATGCATCGAGTTTTACAAAAGATTCTCATCTCCTCTTGTAACTATCTTTAGACTTTGATGATACTGGATGGCTGGAGGCAATCGACAGGAAGCCCTACTTGGACCTAGGTTTCGTACTGGTTGGCACTCACCAGTCAGCAAGGCGTATCCGCAACTGCTTTAAAGGAACTCATGTCCGTTTTGAAATTCGAACTTGGGTTACCCAGTGTTAACTGCAGTCAGAGACGTTGCCGCCAAGCTATTCGGCCTCGCGACTGACCTCCCGTAGGACTCTATTGGATACTTTTGTTGGAAACTAGTAACTAACTACTGTGTTGTGTCTTGTCCTTTATTTGGTACAGACTGAATTCTATCTACCTAGGTCAGGCAAGGCTTCCTGTGGCCGATTGCCTCCAGTCATCTAATATCATAAAATCAACATGCACCGTGATGGCGAGCTACCTAGTGGCATGGTGGCCAAATTACAAACCTGACTGACTGATAGAATTCAGTCCGCACCAAAGAGAGGACTAGATAGACACATCACACTAGTTACTAGCTGGTGTGTAGTCAGCGTGTCTTTTGACTTTTTTATTTTACTATGATTACATTTCTTGCTAATTCAACTAACTTGGTTTCAGAATTTCATCATGAACTGACTTCAGTTGCTCACTAGTAATTAACCCTATTCAGGTAAGTAGTTGCCTGGGTTCCGGGGGAAATCGTAACCAGTGAGGTAATGCAGGTTGTGTATGAGACAAATACTCGCCACAGATGATATTCGTTAGTGCCGGTCTCGCTGTGATCGTGAATTGGCAGAAGCTCGATATCATGAACCATTTGGTCGTGCCCAAACGACTTAATGGTCTACAAGCTCACTAGTCTCGTAACCGGAAGGTCCTAGGTTTGAACCCTGGTGGTGGGTGAGTGCTGTTGAGGAGTCCCAAGCCAAGACAAAGCGGCTCTCCAGTACTCCGTACAGGTTTCCCAATGGTTCTCTAACCGAAGTCAATTCATAATGAAATCTTGAAATCAATCAATTCCCTGCAAACCAACACTTGAATATCAATTAACTTGTGTGTGTGAGTGTGTCTAAGTATTCTTACGTAATCCTGCTTAGTCATACTATTCTTCTTGGTCATCATTATCTTACAAATTTATTGATTACGTAATAAATTGTTGTTGTTAACCCCTACGAATTAACTGACCCTGAACCTACTGGTAAATTTTTTTGATGAGTTTTAATATCTTTTGTTCAGCACCCGCCCATCTCCACCTTATACCAAAAATTGTTAACCACTTGATTGGTATGAGGTTGATGTAAAAAGAACTGAATATTAGTATAAAACCAATGTCGGCGACCATACCACGTTGAAAGCACCAGTTCTCGTCCGATCACCGAAGTTAAGCAACGTCGGGCCCAGTTAATACTTGCATGGGTGACCGGTTGGGAATACCAGATGTTGCCGGCTTTTGCGTCGGTTGCACAGCGGTTAGGACGCTCGCCGACCATGCGCATGGTCCGGGGTTCGATCCCCGGCCACTGGACGCACTCCTTAACCTCAGTATGCCAGAAATAATCCTGGTAAAGAGGAAAGGTTGGCATGAGGTGGTTAGCAACCCCATCCAGTAGAAATAGTCACCACTGCTACAGAAACTTCAAGCCACTAGCTTGAGGCCCTATGTTCCAGCACTGGGAACGTGAAGGAAAAAAAATTGAAAAGGAATCCATATTTCTTTCCTCAATTTGTTGTACTTTCTAAATATGTAAATGAGAATTTTCAAATTTCTGCATATATTTATCAGATGTTGATTTTTAGGGGGATTTGATTGATTGGTTACATAATTGATCACCAGCTGATATCAGTTAGAGAAGTACTGGAAAACTAGAAAGTACTGGACAGATGTTTTGTCCTGATTTGTGTGCTGATGAAGAGTCCTAAATTAGGACGAAACAGTCGTCCAGTACTCCATGCAGGTTTCCTAATAATTCTCTAACTGATGTCAGTCAGCTTGTAATCAATCATGTAACTAATCAATCAAATCCCCCTACAAACCAACAAGTGATAATTAATCCGACATTCACTAGAGACTGACCGTATGCAGGAATTACCTGGAGTTCTATTGAGAAGCCGTAACTATCAGGTTCCACCAAGTCAGATAGGCGCCCCTGACAATAGCTGGCGATTGCGCTAAATATATACATAACACTAAATGGAAGAGGTTGGAATTTATGGGCTGGCCATTGGATTGGGTCACAGTGCCACTTTTATTCCTGCTTTGTTAGGAATTCTCCTTCTCTGTATGGCATTCAACCCCCTCCCCCTCATAAACTCAGTCAGAAACAAGCTTTGTCGGTGAAAATATCCTGTGGAGCCAATTAAACAAAACAATTTAGTTTATCTAATACCCTACCTGCAATGGTTGTCAGTGAGGTCAAATACATAGGTCAAACTAGTAGAACAGATGCAGTCAGTCAGACTAGCCGATCATAAAAGCCTAGCAGCAAAATCTAGATTGGTTGACCCAAATAAGATAAGAAATCTAGAGAATAGTCAGTTCAGCTATAGCACTACACGACATGCAATCAAACACAACCATACAATAGGATGGGATAAGATGACGGTTTTGAAATCTAATGTGGAAGGATAGGTTGATAACAGAAGCTTTGTTTATCGAATCAACTGAAAAGAATAGGTGTAATAGGAGTGATTTAACACCTGTCCACCCGGATATCTGAAAAATTCTTCTACCGCTACGACGACTAATAGGAACGCAGGAAAATAATTGTGAAAGGAAAGTTCCGAAGTTGTGTGATGATAATTGATATGATTATGAACGATAAATTATGTTAGAAACATTGTCACCCACTAAATAATACTGTTTCACTATGTGATGTATCTAATAAAAAACAAATAGGGAAGTAAACTAACGAGTTTGTGAGAATTCAATTAACATCAAGGTGGATTCCATTTCTTAGTTAACATTAATTTACAACAGCATTTGTGCATCTCTGCGGTGCAATGGTATAATTCTCATTGACCACGCCGCAAGTGTTTCGAAGTTCGACTCCCACCCAGCTCATTCCTAAACCTCCCTTAGCTGGTAGTCAACCTGACAAAGAGGGAAGGTTGAACAATTGAGGCCAGTAACCCCAACCCATAAAAATGCTGTGACTGAACTGAAACTTCAACGCTGAAGCCTTCTGTATTCCATTTCAATTGCAAAACAAAGAAAATAGGATCGTTTAAAACTAATAAGCTCTGAACACCTTTTTCTTTCTAGGCTGGAAGGTCCAAGCCCTTGGGCACTCAGACTAAAGGGCAAGTGAGTCATCACTCCTCCACTGGTCTGAAGTTTAAATAACCAATAGTTTCTAAACACCCTGGATATATACTCACGATTAGATTTGATGGTACTGCAGATATCCAGCAAGTCGACTGAACCATAGAATTTTAACAACCTAAGAGGAAGTCGCAGTATTAGACTGAAAAGGGATAAATTCATTTGATCGCAAAAAAAACTCGATATATGCTCTAAAAATTTAGATATTTCTCCCAATTAAAGTAAATTTCATTCAAGGTGAGATAAAACAAAACACTCAGAATGAAAAGATTTCTTTTCTTTACAACATTACAACAAAAATCAATAAAATCAAATAACTGATCAAAATAAACAAGTGATTACACTCTCCAGTGTGTATATGTGTGTGTGTGACAAGCACTTGTAGGAAAGAAATTTCCCCATAAAAAAGGTTCAATAAATAAACACGATACTACTAAATTCTAAAAGGTTCTTAAATTTCATATAACAAGTCTCTTATTTCTTTTACTATGAACATTCCTCAATATTTATGATTAAAAAACTGTAGAGTTACTATGCGTGTTGTAAGAAAAAGAAAATGGAAATTAAAAGTGATCTACCTTATCATATTTTCTTTTTTCCAACCAAAAAATTAAGCATGTTCGTTACATCAAAAACAACTAATATTTTGCACAAAAATGAGCTTTCATTGCAACATACATATAATAATGAGAATAAATTAATTTTAACATAACACAGAAATGTTGGGCTAGTCCGTTGAAAAATAAATATCTTATAAAGTTAGATCTTATTTATACAGTTTTCCTCTCTTTTGATTGGCTCATTAATAGTCACTTCAAGGTCATCTTGTGTGTGTGGGTGTTGATAAGAAGAAAGCGTATTCTTATTGGTCAATCAGTGCTTCCTTCTTGAAACATTCATTATTTATCGATTCATACTAAATCAGACTGAAAGTTATTGATTTTATACACTTTTAAACTGCATGTAATATGATGGTCAGATGCATTATGAACTCGTAAAAATGGTGAGTTAAGAAAATTGATTGTTAACATTAGAAGCAAACGAAAACGAGAATGCTTATGAATGAAAGAATAAATAAACAATGAAGATAATTTTTTTTTGAATAGATTGATCATTTTCACAAATTATATTCTCGTTTATTAGTATAATCATCGTCAGAATTGTCGTTATGATTATTAGTAGTATCATAGTGTATAATTGAAACACTTCCTTTGCGCATTTGTGAAGGCATAGGAGCTGAAGTGTAATTATATTGATTATTTGTATAAGTTCGTTCAATTTTATGCTCAGAATGCACTGAATACATTCTTGGTGTACTTGGTTCAGACATTGTTGAAATTGAAATGACTCTGTTACGATTCACTGTCGGAGCATTATTACTAAGGTCAGGATTAATTGTATGTTGTTTTGATACGTAGATAATTCGTGGAGATTGTGAGTTTATTGCATGTGAATTATTATTGTTAGTATTATTATTAGTATTACTCACGCTAGTAATATTATATTTTTGTGTAGGTGAGGTTGACGCTTTCATAGCACTTTGACTTCTATCAATTATTCGATCAGTATAAGCTTCAGGATTACGAAGAGTGCTTGATGAAAATTCTGGTAGCTTAACTCTGGTCATCTGTCCATTTCTATAAATAAGTGGCATATCGTAATAGGCTCGATCGTCTGATAGTAGTTGTCTTGACATACTGACGAGTGTTTCTGTACTACCTGTTGGTGTCTTATCCTGTTGACGAGATTGACTTGAATTCTTGGCAGTAACTCTGATCTGGTTTAATTGAGAGTCATTTCCGACATGACGGATATCAGGATTCTGACGATCGATCTGTAATAAAAATTCTGATGTTTAAAATTACTGTCAGACAATATATACATACATTTGCAATTAATTAACCAGCTCAGAGAACGCTATTAATTGCAAATCATCCACCTGAGCTACAATCTTCTCTATTATTTCAAAATCTTACGAGCTTGATACGCTTCTGTGGTGTCGAAAATGGGAAAACTTTACTAAAAGGCAACTATCCTTTCTTCATGAATGTCTCCGCCAGCAGATTCTACCTGCTGGTGTCAAATATATACCGCCAATTAACTGCCCTCTAGGCTGAAAATTAGTCAAACAACATGGAAAACAAACATGGTGAAACTAATAATCACGGATGCACACAATAGGATTAAAAAATACCAGCATATAATTAGATTTCAAAAAGAAAAGGTTGAACAAACTCTTACTGCAGAACATCTGTCAACATTGAATACTGCCATTAAAATACTAAGCGAACGACACAAGGAGCGAAGATGAGTTATCCTCAAAGAAAAACTAGCTAAGACATCCAAACAACCATTTGAAGAAACGCTAAATGATTGAGCAGTAAATCTATCGAAACAATCATTATCGAAAGCAGAAGAACAACTTCTTCAGAAAAGACTCAACTACAATACTGGTGACGCTTCAGTAACAGATTTCTGTGCTTCCTTAGAATCATCACTGAAATTATCGAAATTAAATGAGGAAGTACAACAAGAAATACGTCAATGTATCATACCTATACTCAAACAGAAAAGACATAATTCCAAACTTAGCAGTGAAGAACAAAATGCATTGAAGAATAGAAAAGATATAGTTATTCTACCCGCTGATAAAGGAGGAGCAACAGTAATCCTGGACACAGAGGACTACATATGGAAAGCAGAGGATTTACTGAAATAATAATAATGTATATCAACAGCTGACCAAAAACCCTATACAAACATTAGATAACAAAATCAGAACAACGTTAAATAAACTAACGAAATCAAGACAAATTACAGAACAAGATCAATAGCGAATGAAATCTAACGGACCTATTTTACCTCGATTCTATTGTAGGCCAAAACTACACAAACCAAGCATTCCCTTACGACCAATCGTTTCGCTTCCAGGAGCATGAACATATAATCTCTCTAAAGAACTTTTCAGGAAATTAAATTACCTAACAGAATCATGCGACCATCCTATCAATCGTCAATCCAATTTTTAGAGAAAATCAAAAACATTCAGTTAGAAGACAATGAAATAATGGCGTTCTTTGATGTTACAGCATTATATACTTCAATCAGTCCAAAACTAGCCCCAGAAACTATGCAACAATTACTCTATATTGATGAAAACATAAAAACACAATGTTCAACTTGGATAGAACTCATAAAATTATGCCTTACAACATACTTCCAATTTAATACTCAAATGTATGAACAGATAAAAAGGAAAACCAATGAGATCGCTCATATTAGGATTAATAGTTGAAGCCGTCATGCAAAGATTAGAATTAATAGCTCTATCTATAATTAAACCGAAAATCTGGGTACGTTACGTTGATGATGCATTTGTAATAATTAAGAGAAATGATTCAGAATATACCAATAAATTAATAAACAACATATTTGAAGACATGAAATTCACCACAAGAGAAGAAGAATTAAATGACAAATTCCCATTTTTAGATGCCTTAATCAGGAGAACCAATACAGGAAATTTAGAAACACAAGTATATAGCAAATCAACGCACACAGATCAAATACTCAACTGAACTGTAACAGGCATTACATCGGCCAAAGTGGACGCCCCCTTCGAATTACAATCTAAGAACACAAATCAGCCGTGAAAAGACACGATATATATTCTTTCATATCAATGCACATACAGACAATTATGGACATAAGTTTGATTGGGATTATTTCGAAATCTTAGACAGAGGAAACACCAAAAGGAGTGCCAGGGAATTCCTACAAGCCTGGTACTCAAACGAATATGCAGTTAACAGACACGTTAATGTAGACCAAATATACCAAGTTGTTATGTACTCGTCGAGTAGTTAATAGTCCTGACGCGGAAAGAGGGAAATCAGAAGACCACCAGGTTTACGATGATACTTGTATTTTCCAGACAAGGAAAATAAATGTCACACTAGTGTGTGAGTGAATCGCTACAAGTGTGCGAAAAAGTGTGTGAACACGAATGATGTATAAGTGTCTAATACAAAGTATATATGAAAATGGCTAATACACATGAACCAATAAGATAACGTCTTACCATGATTGGTTGCAATGTCATGTGATAACAAGGTCATACATGTTTATTTAGTTAGTGGACAGACAAAAGAATATTGTCACTTATACACATAGCAAAATATAACAGACTGTCAAAAACAAAACACACATCATGTGGATACATATCACAAGTAATAAAAAGTAAGTAATGTGACGAGAAAGTTTAAAATCCAAGTCAATAGAAAATGGTCAATACATATGTGTAGATGGTTACCGGGAGACGCAATTATATCACTCATGAAAAATTCAAATCATTTCACTTTATGCTAAATATTGCGCTGAATGGATGCTGTGCAGAAGTACGACGAAAGCTCCGCAACTAAACCAACCAGCTCAGAGAACACTATTAATCGCAGATCATCCACCTGTGTTACAAAACTTCTCTATTATTTAAATATATATATATATATATAATGCGTAAAATATACCACTTACATCAACCGGTGGTATGTGCTAGCCAGACCAATAGAAGTGATCGGAACTCCAGACAGCCGCTTCGTCTGCTCGGGTTCGAAATCATCAGCGATGTACCCAGCTTGACTCAGCTCAGATAGCCAAAGTATTTCAAACCACCCGACCTATGGCTAGCTGCTTAGGCGAGCTGGTCATTCCACAAATGGAATTCCAATGTTTAGACAATTTCTATCTGAATAGCTAACCAGCTGACAAGGGCGAAGTTCAAGGATAGCGAGCGTCCCAGGAATGCGAACGTTCAAATGACCTTGAATGCTTGCTAGCCGTTGGTTGAGGAAACTTACCATTAACATTCTAGAGCGAAAATGAACGCTGTTCCTCATCTGCTCAGATTCTAATTTCACCCAGATCACGTATTTCAATACTGTCTGGATAAGGGATTAATTGGACGTTCTCTTATATATAACTGTGGTGGTGCTTCAATGATTCAGCATTGATGGATATATATTTAGATGTACACAGCGTAGGAAACGAATAAGTGTTCGCATTGGTAAGCGAAACTCCCCGTTAATTGTCTTCTAGGAACTTTCTTTGAAAAATCGAAACTTTTCCTGACGAATATACTATTTCTTTGTCATTACTGGGTTTTGAAGTCCGGTGTGAGGTCATTTGCCGCTCAGACAAAAAATACGTTAACGTCTACTGTGCAATGGTTCCAGTTTTGTCGAGATTAAGCGTCGTAGAAAATGAATAGTATTACTTAAGTGTTGGGAGGAGTCGGTGTAGTCATTCATATGGATGAAACGGTCCTTACAAAGAACAGAGTACACTTGAGGACGTTCTAGAGTGAATAACGTTTGGGTTCTCGGAATTCACGACACCCAGATTAGGAAAGGATTTATCGAACTTATTCCAGATAGGAATACTGACACACTCCTCCCTATTATTCAAAGGGTCGTCTTGCCAGACATTAACATTCACACGGATGAATGGGCAATATATATATATATATATACATCATCGAGTTAACCATTCGGATGACTTCGTCGATCCCAGAACCGGTACTCATACGAATTCAATAGAAGGTTTCTGGGGAAGACTCCAAAATAGAATAAGAGCCACAAAAAACAGCTCTCAAAATCAAGTTACTTTTAGTCATCTAGATGAATACATGCACAGAAATTGGTTGAATTTAAAAACTCACACTCCCCATTATAATTGAGACATCTTTTTATCTCATATTAGACAAAAATATCCTTTTTCATGTTTTTTTTATGTGAATATAGGTAATTTGTTTGTGCCGAAATCCTCCTTTCTTCTGATTGGTCGACTCAAGGTCACTCGTGCGTTCACATCCCTTAGAACGCTATTGTAGAACTTTGCCTTGACAAGTACTAACTGGTTGATCTGAGAAGTACTGCTACCACTACTCACCTAAATCAGCCGATAGATTTAATGCATTTTTTCTTGCCTTTTTGATTACCATTTATCGTAGAGAACTGAATAGGAACTAACTAACTGAATTGACCGCTTCACTCATTTGGGTAGTACTATCAGCCCCAACGGGTTGATCTCTGACAAAATCTCAGCACGAATACAGGGGGCTCGTTTCGCATTTGCCAGTTTACGCCGACTCTGGTGTAGACGAGAAGTTCGACTATCGACCAAAGGGCGGGTGTACTGCTCATCAGTCCGCTCCGTCCTCCTTTATGGCCAGCTGTGAGACCTGGCCACTGAGAGTGGAAGACATGAAAAGACTAGCTGTCTTTGATCATAGGTGCTTGAGTTCTATTTCCCGTGTAAAGTGGCATAATAAGGTGAGCAACATTGAGGTTAGGCGTAGAGTTCTAGGTAAACAGGGAAATCAATCGACGAAGTCGTGAAGCTACAAAGACTGAGATGGTTAGGACATGTGTTACGTATATGCCAAGTCATCGCCTCCCTCGACGAGCTATGTTAGTGGATATAGGGTCAGGCTGGAAAAAAGCTAGCGGCGGTCAAACCAAAACATGGCTTCACCAGTCAATGAAATCCACAACAGTTGGTCTAAGCCACGTAGGAAGGTGTAGACTTCCTGACTGGTTGGGGTCCTCGGGACGGTAAAAATCTATGGTTGGAAACAATTGGTGACATGGCTCAAAATCGTTCTCAGTGGCGCAGATGCATCCACTCCCTGTGACTTATGATCTTCAATGAAACTGTTTTGTATTTCTTTATTACTCCTCCTTTGTCTCACACCTCTGCTCACTGTTTCTATTATGCTTTTCTTGTACTTTCTTCTCTTGCTTCGCGTGCTACACGGAGTGTGGCGACTTGAACTGGCGCACATTTGTGCAAAGTTCTATGACGAAAACAGACAGACAGACCATTTATCGTATCAAGCTGATCACATATATTGACATCTGAATAACTTTGTTTCTAAAGGGAACTCCCCACCCCCCTTGAATTGCGTAAACTGTATAAATATTATGCTGCCAAGGTCATAAAGGTCATCACCATCAGAGTATGTTGCCACTAAACTACTAATAATCGGCGAAGTTGAATCACAAAATCCAACGAAAATGTTGTACAATATCTTATGTGAGTTTTATAAGCCCATATGTCTCTCTCTCGCGCGCACACACACACAAATAGCTAGTAAGACGACTTCGAAGTAAAGGCAGGAGTAAGACAAGCTGGCTGCCTACTATCGCCAATGATTTTCCTGACTGCAGTAGATTGGGTAATGCAACAGACAACGGGCAATGAGGAAACAGTCATAAAATGGACCCACACAAAAAGAAACTTGGAGGATCTGAACTATACCGATGAGTTATATATGTCTGATTTTCCGTAAACTGAAAGATATGCAAGTGATGAAAAGCAAAAAGTTGGCAGAAGAAGCGTCTAGAGAAGATGGGACTTCGGGTGAACATAGATAAGACAGAGGTGATGAAATTCTTGGCCAACACCAACAACAACAGACAACAATCGGCCAGCATAAATGGGAGAAACCTGAAAGAAACAACCTCCTTCACCTAACTGCCAACCTGGGAAGCATAGTTTCAACTACAGACGGACAGAACTGATGAGGATATCAAAGCGTGAGGATCGGGAAAGCAAGACAAGCTTTCATTACTCAAGTCTGTGTGGAGGTCAACACTCAGCATGAAAAATAAGATCCGGATTTTCAACTCCAATGTGAAGTCAGTGCTACTCACTATACGGATCAGAGACTTGGCGAGTCATAAAGAGCACCTCAAACAAACTCCAAACCTTCATTAACAGCTGTCTCCGCTCAATACTCAAGATCAGATGGCCAGAAAATATCAGCAACAGGGATCTCTGGGAGCGAACCAATCAGGAACCGATTGTGCAACAAATAGGCAGGAAAAAATGGAGGTGGATTGGCCATACTCTGAGGAAACCATCAAGTGACATCACTAGACAAGCCATTGCTCGATTGGAACCCAACAGAATGGGAAGCGGCGAGTTGGCCGTCCCACGGTGGGGTGACTTGGAGGAGGTCATGTGAAGAGGAGATGAAAGCAACTGGACAGACTTGGAGCCAGTTGACAACTCTAGCAGAGAACCGAACGCAATGGAAACGCGCGGCTGAAGCCTTATGTTCCTCTAGGAATTAAGGGAAATAATATTAATAATAATTTGTGACACTTCCATATCACATTGACACAAGTGGTTATCATGTCTGGAACATACATGATCCTGAAGGTTACAGTTTCCTGGAAACGTCGGTCGTATAATGGTGTGACAAATTTGGGCTGTTATCAAGTATTAGTTTGCAAAGATTTCATTGGTTACAGGATTGACCCCTCGGTTACAGCACCACTGGAAATCACCATAGAGTACTGGGTTGATGTTTCGTCGTGGTTCTGGATTCTTCATCTGTAGTACGCACCCGCTGGGGTTTGGACCCTGGGCCTTCGCGTTACAAGGCGAGCTCGTAGACCATTAAACCAATCGGATCCGACCTAATGATCCATGAGCTCCAACTTCTGAACTGTCACCGAAGGTGTTTTACCTGTGTATCACCAGAATATCAGCTGTGATGTTCTCCAGCTCTGGACAAATGGCGTGAACTCAGAAATGACTTTGGAGGGTAATAATTGCACTGGAAAGTAAATTCAGCTCCTTAAGTCACTCCTAACTATAATTTGTCCTTAAGCTAACCCTAATTAGGTTTACCTGACCCTAACTATTCCCTAGCCCAATCAACCTTTTTTATCCTAAGTAGATATCCTGTCTAGTATGATTATACTTGATTCAGCGCTTTTGTTAATGAATGCAGTTCAATTTGCCTGGTTTCACCGCCCTATTTTGATTGCGTGTTCTACGATTATTGGCATATGCTTGTACCTGTTGGATGTTTAAACCTGATATGTATCCACATGATGTGTGTTCTGTTTCTGACAGTCTATTATATTTTGCTATGTGTATATGGATCGATATTTCATTATAACTGACAATATGCTTTTGTCTGTCCTATGACATTACAACCAATCATGTTAAGACTGTCTATTTATTGGTTCATGTGTATTAGTCATTTTCATATATACTTTTGTACTGTATACTTGTTTATACTTGTTCACACACTTTTCGTACATTACGTACCATTCACTCACACTCTTGTGCGACAGTTTATTTTTCCTTGCCTGGAAAATACAAGTATCATCGTGAACAAGGTGGTCTTCTGATTCCCTCCCCTTTTTCGCTTTAGGACTATTAACTACTCGACGAGTACATAACGTAACTGGCGACGGGGAAAACTCGAATAACTCACTCAGCAGCACTACATAACAAAAACTGAACTTTGTCCAAAAAGGTATTGGAAAAAGTAATTAACGTGAAACAGCACACGTAGCAACTTATCCTTCAGTTATGAGGATTTCTGTATTGACTAAACGTCACCTCCATAAAAATGACCGTGTATAACCTACCATAAACTGCACAACTATACACACACACACACACATAAAAATAAGCCAGTGAAGTTAAGACATAGTGGTCCAATAGAAAAACTTCACGAATGCCCGCTATAGGGGCAGCCAATCACAATTCACTCAGGGTTTTTTTTCCCTTCACTTTCCCCAGTGGAGCATACGGTTTCAAGCTAGTGGCTTGAAGTTTCTGTAGCAGTGGTGATTATTTCTACTGGATGGGGTTGCTAACCACCTCATGCCAAACCTTTCCTCTTTGCCAGCATTATTTCTGGCTCAGCGAGGTAAAGGAGTCCATCGACCGGGGATCGAACCCCGGACCATGTGCATGGCCGGCGAGCGTTCTAACCACTATGCCACCGACGCACCAATTCACATAGGTAATAAGTGAAGTTGCAATGATGAATCAATCGACTTCATGATTAGCAGTGAACACTGTTCGGATAACCACCTTCAACTATAAATCCTAATGAAGAGTTTTTTAAATTCCATGTGCATTTGAATGACATTTTTCATGATATCCATTTGCAGGATAGCTATCAGTTAGAATCCAGATGAAGGTTTCGTCCTACGTTGAACTCATCAGTAGGATGTACATGAGTCCCAGTATTTACAGAATTGAAACTTATAAACTGAGGAATTGTTGTCGTTTCAAACATAAAGGCATTATTTGGTAAATAATTGAACTACGAGTTGTCTACTGTTTACGAAGAATATGATATGGTGTCGACATTTGTAAATCTAACTGATAGGCATATGCGTCGGTGGCACAGCGGTTAGGACACCCGCCGACTATGTACATGGTCCGAGATTCGATCCCCGGCCACTGGACGCACTCCTTTACCTCGCTAAGCCGAGAATAATCCTGGTAAAGAGGAAAGGTTGGGCATGAGGTGGCTAGCAACCCCATCCTGTAAAATAAACACTGCTACAGAAACTTCAAGCCACTAGCTTGAGGCCGTATGTTCCAGCACTGGGAACGTGAAGGAAAAAAAAACTGATAGGCATCAATTTTATATACGTGCCTTTTAAACAAATGTCTCAGTTAGGTCACACCTGAGAACTGGTCAGTAAAGATAGATATTATTGTACAGCCTTTGAAGATGATTTTATCGATAAAGAAAATCTCCTAGATAGGTCATGAATTGACTGACGTCGGTTATAGAACCACTGAAAACCACCAGTGAGTGCTACACAACTATGTTGGCTTAGTTTTGGACTCTTCAGAAGCGGGGAACGCATCCACCACATTACTGAGAAGTGAATCCAGCACCTTCAGGTTACGATGCCTTGATCATTGACTAATCAACCGGTGAGATTGGAATCTAACGGCTCATGAATTATAACTTATATCATTTCGGTATATAGTCGGCAAATATTTGTCTTTACACTTGACCTAGTAAACTCTAATGGTCACGAATTCTCACTAGGAGGATTCTAGGCTACGTCGTCCTGCAGGCAGTCACTAGTTACCAACATCACTGTAATTTTCAAGTGTATTGTTTTGTAGGGATTTGATGTGTTTCGAATACGGTTCCAGACTGGCGCCATTTAGAAAACCACTGCCTGGATTTCTAATGACAAGTCATAACCAGCTAAGCTACAAAGTCAGTCATGATAAATTTGTGAATTGAAAAAAGTTGGAATTACTAGGCCATTAGATTCCAGCCCTAATGGCTGAATAGTTAACAAGCTTGAACTTGTAGTTTGGAGGTCTCTGGTAGGGTTGTGAATGCGTAATCCTGGAAAAACTTGGCGGGTCACAAAGAATATTTCCAACAGGCTAACTCAGACCTTTATCAACAACTGTCTTCGCTGGATCTATACTGAAGATTAGATGGCCGGACCGGAAAGAATCACCACCAACAAGAAACTATGGGAACAAACAAACAAAACAAGAAGCAATCGCCAACCAACAAATATGCAGGAGAAAGTGGAGATGGATTGGACACTCACTCGCTAAGGAGACCGCTGGTGACATCGCGCGTCAAGCCATCGCTCGAGTGGAACCCGAAAGGAAGCGGCTAGTGGGACGTCAGTGAAAAGATGGTGACATGGAGGAGATCGTGTAAAGAGGAGTTGAAATAGTATGGACTAACATGGATGCAGGTGAAAAGTACAGCAGAAGGAAGACAGAAGTGGCAAGTGGAGACGTGCAGTTGAAGGCCTATGTTCCACTAGGAACCCAAGGAAACAAATAATAATAATAAATCCTGGAGACTCCCAAACTAGCTAGATATACAACTACCCAGTACTCCCAAATGGTTCTAACATATATCGATCTGTAATTCAGCTTGAAATAAACCAAATTCCAGCAAATCAACTCTGAAAAATTGACCTGTTGCTCGCTATCGACTGCCTGAGAGATGAAGTCGATTGGAGAGCTCATGACCAGTGGATTCCATCCTGTCAGGCGGGAGTGAGGAAAATTACTCATTTATAAACAGTGGCTGGTAGTCGTACTAAAATCAAAATTTGATAGAAGTTAGAATTCATGGGGCCGATGGATTCAGGTTCCAGTGGTTGAATGGTCTACAAGTTTGACTTCTAAACGGAAGTACCTAGGTTCAAATCCCTGTGAATGATTGTTGCTGAAGTTCCAAACTTCCAAACACAGTTGTCATCAAACTTGTAACAAATCATCAAATCTCTACAATCTGACTGCTGAAAATAACTATTATTTACTAATAAAACGAAGAACTTGTAGAAAAATCTGATAATAAAAAATGTAGTGGCAATTTGAGTCTACTTAAAACATTTATAAGTAGTATAAAATTATAACACAAAATATTTACCTTGACAGGTGTTGTTATACGAGTAGTTGTCAGCGTTGATCCTTTTTGATCATATCCACTGTTTCCAAATCGATTTATGCCTTTTCCTTGAGTTGAATAATATTCACTATTCTCTATAATATCAAACATGTCGTGAACACCATGAACAGACTCATCATTTGATTCTAAACGTTGTAATTCTTCATAGATACTATTATTATTATTTTCTTGATGTAACTCATTATTATTAATATTATTCTCGTAAAAGTACATATTTTTATCAATTCCATCCGATTCTTGATTTACTGAAAACATAAACTTTCCTGGTTTTCTAGTGTCTTTCCTCTTTTTATGAAATGCATTCAGTGCATTGGGTAGATGTTTACGTGCGGATTTCAATTTTTGTAATTTTGATGTTGGTTCCGGTTGACTTATTGTTGAATATGGAAGCGGTGTACAGCTGACTAATTCAATTCCAGGATCATCAAATGTCTTTTTACGTATCAAAGGTGACGGTTCATAGTTCGCTGGATAAGAAGCCAGAGAGGATGAAGACGACGGACTGATTGTACGTGAAAATGTTGTTGGTGATCTATGCCCAGAATAAGTAGAATAATTACGATTAGCACTTTCTGAAGGGATATTCAGCGTTCTTGATGTACGATTCCTGTCGGGTGCAGCAACTTGATCAAGAAATAATACAGTTCTACGATTTAAAGTATGCTCAGGATTTTCACTGTCCGAATGATTACCATTCATAGGATAGTCGGATAAACGATTTGTAGAGTTTCGTCGACGTCGAATTTCAGGAGATGTAGATCGTAGATTAACCAGCGAAACACTTGTTGACAAGTCAGTTTCACCCACATCATTATCATATTCTTCTTCTTCTGCTTCAAATGAGGCTGGATTAGATGTAGCTCGAGAGGTTGATCGAAGTATCGATTTTTTAGGCGTTTGAACTTCATAATTCTAAGATAAAGAAAATCAATAATAGAAAATTTCGCTAAAATAGACGCTCACCATACAATTATTTTCACAGTAATGACAAAGGAGTTTATTTCATCACACTTTTTCTTCATCCAAGACCTTCATAAAAAAAGGCGAAGTTACCTGAAGTTCTAATGAGAAGTCGTGACCGGTGGTGTCTATGCAGTCAGCAAGGATGGAGTTCCCGTGGTTGGTGGTGAAGCCGAAATCATGATTAGGTATAAGTTAGAATTCATGGGCTGGCCACTGAGGAGTCTGATCCCATTGGCTGAATAGCCTACGGGCTTGCCTTGTAATCGGAAGGTCTTGGGTTCGGGGCTTAATGGTGGGTGTCTACTTCCGTTGAATCGAAAACTAGGATGAGATAGCCATCCATCTCTAAATGATATCAATCCATGTTCAAAATATGAAATTGATTTTATTAAGTAAGAAATCATAGGGGATTAGTTCGAATGCCGACTAGCCTGATCTAGTGATCATCATGAAATTCTAGTGATTATAAAAATAATCAATACATTTCTTAGAATTCAAGTTATCTCAGGAGCTGACATCGTTTAGAAGACCGTTTACAACTCGGAAGTACTAGTGCTCACTAGTGACTGGCTGAAGGATGACGTTCCCTGGAGTTCTAGTGGGAAATTGTAACTCGGAGTGTCGGACGTGTGGACAAATACTTACCGATGACATAGGCTTACAGCTGAGCTATACGCATACCACGAATTGAAAGAAGTTGAACTTCACAAGCTGGCCAATCGATTCCGTCCTACTCGTCTTAATAGTCAACAAGCTTAGTTTCATAACCTGAAGATTTCGGGGGTTCTATCTTCAACGGTGAGGTGAGATGGGTGTACCTCTATGAAGTCACTGAGCTCACCTCTTAAACTGGGGGTGATGAACTCGGACAAGGACGAAACAACTGTCCAATACTTTCTGATCTATAATGGTAATAGATTAACTGACAGTTTTAAGAAAAATCAATAATCACCTAATCTGAAATGGTGTCTTTTATCGATCAATAGATCGATCAACTAATTGGTCGATAAGTAGATAATCTGTTAACCTTTTATCCGTTGAATCATTTGAAACTAGGCCCACAATTCATTACTCTCCTCCATAGTAGATGAACCATAACCAGACTAGCTTAACAGCTTGGAGGTTTTGACTTCGATCTCCGAAGACTGGGATCATGGTAGCCTACTGGATAAATAGTCTTAAAATAGGTTGAAATATATATCCATCTGAGGACAGCAGATATAATATTTTAGGATATAAAGTATTTAACAAAAATCATATGACTTCTTAAATGCGAATATGTTTCATGACTATCCTGATAACCTGGGATAAAACGGCTTCATTAAGAAGACTGAACAATTCCATATTAGTTTGTTTATTAGATGTATCACACACACACACACAGTCAGTGAAATAGTATTAGTATTTACTGGATGACACAGTTTCGAACACAATTCATCACCAGTTGTAATCACACAACTTCAAAAATTGAGTTTTATAGTTTTCAAATCACGGAATATACACACTGGGTCATAGGAGTTATTAAGAAGACTGACAGTTGCAGCGAAGAAAATTTTCTTTTCGACGAAGTCACCGTCAAGTAGGCTGTACATTCGTGTATTTATATCAAATGGATGGGAAAGTTCCAGAATAATTTCCGGTCAAGGGTCAAATTAATGAAAATTAATAAAATTAGGGATTAGAATGCCATAATAAACAGGGGGGTGGATAAAACAAACAAAGTAGCATCATAATAACTAAGAAGATTGACATTGTGCAATTGGGGGTTAGAAATGTTGAAATAACAATAATAGACAGGATGTTTGGATAAAAAAACTAATGTGATGAATAATTGTTTATGCAAACAGGGATTAAATGTGTAGAAATAGTAAAATGACAAAATAAACACTAAATTCGGGTATGAAAATATGGAAGTCTAAACAGGGATTAAGAAAAACTTGAAATAACATGAATAAACAGAAGTTTAGATAAGAAAGGCGATGGGATGATCATTACTAAAAAAAATTACCTGTTTACGATGGCCATGGCAGGGACAGGGGTTTAACGTATTTCTTTTGGATACATAGCGTGGGTTTGAGCTTTTGTATAGCTAGTGCCTCGGCTATGCCCAGATGTCTTGATTTTACTCCCTTTGATAGGTTTGATTGAACTTGTAAATGATTTCAAAGGATTTTTCGAGTGGCGCTGAATGTCATGAATTCACCAGATGTTCTGTCACCGAGCTATTTACCCGTTTTCGTTCTCCTTTTACTAGCCAGGCTGGATAGTGTTCACGAGAGCGTTTTTTAAGTCGGCGCTTGGTACGGCCAACGAACTCAGCTCCACAAGAGCAAGTAAACTGGTATATGCACGTTGAGGTGGCACAATGCGACAGCTTGTCTTTCGCGTTCTGGCTGAACAGTTTCTTGCAGGAAAACGTCAGTCGTAGGCTAGCGGCGAAGTATGTCTTCCTCAGCGATTTCGAGAGGCGTCTGCGAAGGATTTCTGCTTCAATATCACCTTTGAATTCTAGATTAAGCAGAAGCATTTTCTTTGGGACGGATTGGACTTGTTCAGAAGTCTTATAGTTTTATAGTCTTTTATAGTTTTCTTTGTCCTCTCCTATTTGTCCTCGTAGGGGTAGTAGAATTTTCCAGATGTTCGACTGAATAGATGTTGAATCATTCCTATTACACGTATTCTCCTCTCAGTTGATTCGATAAACAAAGCTTCTGTTATCAAACACACATTAACAATAAGATATATGAATTTTTTCCTGAATATAATTTCGTACAAACACTGGAAGATATGCAAGTGATGAAAGGCAACAAGTCGACCTTTCATGGTCATCCCACATCTTATCAATTTCTAAGAAAATGTTTCGTCTTACCTTCTACATTAAAAAGTTAAAACAATCAGGTATCAGCCAACCTCTACTCCTGTATTTTACCTATTGTACTCTATTGCTCTTCATTAATCTTTACTGGGCTTCTCAAAAACGACTATATCATATTACGAAGGGTATTAAATGCTGTGAGTAGGGCTTGTGGTATGCCACTGCGTGAGCTTGCCAATACTATAGTCGAGAGACACATAAATACCTGTACAAAATGGGCAGAAGCTGTACTGTCAGACCCCCTGCATCTCCTTTATTCACAACTATCCTCTTGCATCTCATCAGATAGGACGAGAAGTCAATATAAAAAGTTATATGCTCGCACCAATAAGTACACAAATTCTACAATACCCTATTTAGCCCGTATTTTATGTGATGAAGACACTGTTAGACGTGAAACATATAAGAAGTTACTATGTAATTAGCAAAGTGAATCGACCCTTTCCTCAGTCATGTTTCTGTAATTTTATGGTGTCACCCTTTCTATCGTTTAATTATAACTTAGCGATTTTATTTTAGTTGTTATTACTATTATTACTACAATTTTCTACTTTATGCATATTATTCTCCTTATCGCATACTGTAATTTGCTACATAGCTGCTACAACAACGTTTTTTCATTATTATTATTACGTAATGTTTATTTTTTTTGGTCGTTTTGAGTAAATTAAATGCAATATTGTACTGAATGCTGAAAATTACAATCTGTATCACAAGTACTGTTTTTGGAATAAAGCAAAAATTATTATTAATAATAATAATGAGAGACTGAAGACTGTTTCTAATTTAGTATTTAAAATATCTACAATTAATTATTGTTTTACTGTAAACCTGTCATTAAAATTAGATTTAAATCGATTTCAGTATGGCGAAAATATTCATTCAGACATCTATAAAACACAAAATAATTGAGTAGAGAATATCCTTTTCTATAATTTTCTCCACTTTTGGCTCTACAATTAATTATATGTGCATGTTTACATACATTGAATCTTTTAGGATAGTAGTCAATAACAATATCGGGGTGTCTTTTAAATAATATCGATTTCAATACAATAGCTTAGCTAAACTATTGAGAATATTGTTCTTTGTTTTCCGTATTCTCTCCTATTTGTCGTCGTCTTGGGGTAGTAGAATTTTCCAGATATCTGGGTGGAGACAGGTGTTGAATCATTCGTATTACACGTATTCTCCTCTCAGTTGATTCGATAAATAAAGCCTCATTCAGTCAGTTATCAATCTCTCCCTACACCCTGTGACATTAGATTCTAAAACTGTCATCTTACCTCACCCATCCTATTATATGGTTGTATGTTACTGCATTGAGTGAGTGGTATAGCTGAACTATTCTCTAGATTGAGTATCTTATTCGGGTCAACTATTCTAGATTTTGCTAGGATGACATCTTCAGCGCATACTTCAGTTTGAAGTGAGCTTTTAGATTTCTCCACGAGTTTATTAATCATCTCTCCTGGTGACCTTGGACGGGTCAAAGTTCAAGCCAAAGAAACAATCAGTTCCAATACAAGTAGCCACCTAGAAGGTATGAAAACACACAAAAACAACCAATCACGTCCAAGGTCACCGACCAGGAGAGATGATTAATAAACTCGTGGAGAAATCCAAAAGCTCACTTCAAACTGAAGTATGCGCTGAAGATGTCATCCTAGCAAAATCTAGAATAGTTGACCCGAATAAGATACTCAATCTAGAGAATAGTTCAGCTATACCACTCACTACATGCAGTTACATACAACCATATAATAGGATGGGTGAGGTAAGATGACAGTTTTAGAATCTAATGTCACAGAGTGCAGAGGGAAACTGATAACTGATATCCTTCCGGATATCTGGAAAATTCTACTACCCCAACGACGACAAATAGGAGATAACAAAGAAAACTATAGAACTCAAGTTTCGAAGTCGTGTGATTATAATTGATGCTGTGATTATGAACAATGATGAATTGTGTTCGAAACCTTATCATCCAGTAAATAATAATACTGTTTCACTCAATCACTGTGTGTGATACATCTAATAAACAAACTAATATGGAAACGAATGTTCAGGTATACA